GTGTGTGTGTGTGTGTGTGTGTGTGTGTGTGTGTGTGTGTAATTTAATGCTAGCATTATTGCATTCTCATAACGTTCCTAAATCTGCGAAAAACCGATGTACTTGCTATGGAGTAGATTTTGCCTCTTAAGGTTACGATTTGATGTTTACATTGCCTCAATGTCTTCCAAATAAAGTGCACAAAGTTAAAAAACCTGTTAACTTACTGCGAATAGCGCGTTGAATCGATTAAAATTATCAAGCCCAAACTACAAACGATAGAATTGGCATAAGCACATGAAATGAGGAAATAATAAAAAAAGTTTCGGGGTTCGAAAGGATTTTGTGTGTTAAATACGTGCATCTTTGACTCATTTTGTGACTTCTGCTAGGCAAAGTTATCCGTGACTAGTTTCTGAAATTTTAAGTGAATTTTGTCTTCGATATTCCGGCACTTTCGAGTCGGTTGGGGAATTTTGCTCGTCTTGTCACTCAACTCCTCTTTTTCACGTCTCGAAGTTGAGATGTCACATTGATCATACATGATATTAAGCAGTATGTATATTCTGACATTTCATATTTATCATTATGAATAAATAGATGTGATAAATTATAAATGTTTCTTATTTTCAATAAACATCTTGTTATCAGCTCATTTATTCAGCTGTCGAAACCAATCTGGACCTGTTGAAAAAGAAAATCAGTAATTGGTATATCAATTTACTTAGTTAGACGAAAAAAATGAGGGCCAAAATATTCCACTGTTGCCGTTTCTAATCTCAGAAAAATGATTTCCAAGATGATTTGTAAAGAGACTTAGACAAGATGGTTGACAATCTTAAGGAATTAAAAAACATTGGCATCAATACTCATCATTTATTTTAAATGCACAAATTGAATTCGATTCATAGCTCTGTTTCACATTGCTTCTTTAGCCTCCAGAAAGAGCAGACCTGGTGAACCTCTGTTAATAAGCAAGGTGATTCCGGGCAGTGTAGCAAGTAGATGTGGTTCCATCAGTCCTGGTGACATTCTCCTTGCCGTCAACGGGATCTCTCTGGAGGCCTGTAGCATTACCGATGCGGCTCGTCTCCTTCAAACCTCCGAGGAAATCGTCACTTTGCGAATTCAGAAACCCGATGAGGAGCCTGCCACCCCGATCTCTGACGAGGGACTCCCCTCTTGTTGCCAAAGCGACCTTGAAATCGTTCGAGACGATGACAACGATTTCAGTCTAGGTGGTGGTGGTGGTGGTCCTTTTGACGCGAATGTCACTCAAGATGATGAATTTCTCAGCCAATCGGCAGATGAGTCGATATCACATCTTCCTGCTCCACCTCCCAGGCCGCCCAGAAGGTACCGAGGCCAGCGAGACAAGCGATCGCAACAGCACAGACACGCAGCAGGTACTGCAAGAAATCAGCAACAGCAAGTGGAAAGTGAAAATGGAAGCGATGGAAGGAGAGCAAATCCCTCGGATAGTTTTTCTTCCGATCGATTCAGTGAAAATATGTGTTCAGGTAAGTAATGCTATTTTATCAAAACCAGAAGTTTCATTAGCCCACTTACTTAGATACCGCATGCAACATTTATTTATTTCAAATGGCGGGCTTTATGATACTTATCGTTCGCGCGTTAGCTGACTTCGGGCTTCATATAGGGAAAGAGGAATATCAAAGTGAGAAAAAGTGGAGAGGGGGGACAGAAGAGTGATTCAAAGATGTAAAAGAGACAGACAGACACAAAAGCAGAGAAAAAGTAGGATAACTATGGTGGAAGTGATCGAATAACACATACAATGGGGTCATGGTAGTTCGAAGTGAGAAGTCAACTGCCGGTTTATAGACGTTTTTGCCGTATGAGAATACGTTGCCCAGGGTGCACCACGGACTCTTTTGCCGTGTATACGTTGCCCAGGGTGCACCAGTTTGTTTGCCGTATGAGTATACGTTGCCCAGGGTGCACCACGTGATAGACTTACTTGCCGTATGAGTACACGTTGCCCAGGGTGCACCACGTGGTGCCTTATGAGTATACGTTGCCCAGGGTGCACCACGTGGAGCCGTATGAGTAAACGTTGCCCAGGGTGCACCACGTGGAGCCGTATGAGTATACGTTGCCCAGGGTGCACCACGTGCCGTTTGAGTATACGTTGTCCAGGGTGCACCACCTGGAGGTAAGTCTATCGTGAGTATACGTTGCCCAGGGTGCACCACGTGGAGGTGTATGAGAATACGTTGCCCAGGGTGCACCACGTGGAGGTAATTCTATCCCACACCCCATGCATGCAACATATATTGGGGTGCATTGCATTCAAATTATGGTGCGTTGAATGGAAATTAAATTATGGCTAGTTTCTTCCTCACGCTATTTCCAACTCATTTCAAATACCATCCATAGAAATAAAAACACAATTTACTTATCTCTTTTGTTAAGGTGGTATCTAAATTCTGTTTCCCTGTTATCCTTATTCAAATTGACTTTTAGGGTTCGTGCGCTTAATCTCAGCATAATTTAATCGATTCTCTAAAATCGACAGAGTCCAATTTTAGTTAACATAAAGCAGCAGGGTTTTAAAAGGGTCGTTTAGTGGTAGTGTAGTAATTTCTTTAAATTAAATTTTAATAAATTTTAATAAAAAAAGAGGTAGCGATTGGCGTTTTTGCGCTCTAATTGGAGAGAAAGATGCTGTATTTACACACATTTCTGCTAAAAATTTAATCTTGCCAGCAGTTTGACCATCTCAACACTCGAGCGGAGGCATAAGTGTCCAAGCGCCTCCACTATTTGCAGTGTTGCGCTCTAATTAGAAAAATCTGTCCTGACGCAGCTTTAATCTCCTCTGCCTTTGCAAAAAACAAAACGGAGTTAATCTCGCTCGCCTGCTTTCTTCCACACATACACTCACACACACACACTCACACACACACACGAAAACACGCACACACTGAATAGTCTCAGTATTTGTTGAGCGGAGTATTTTTACAAGATGGAGAAATTTTAATTCCCTCTTCTCTCGGGTTGGCCATCTCTCCGCCGTCTCTCCACCCCCACCCCCACCACCACTCTCTT